CTGCCCCCCCCTCCCCCCCCTACTACCTCCTCCCCTCTCATTTGCTTCCCTCATATATCTGACCCTGTTGCCTTCTTCCCAGGTCTGTGTCCCGTTTCTGTGTCTCATACCCTTTCTTCCTCGTCTCCTCCTCCTCTCCATCTCTCTCTTGCCTTTCTCTGTCCTCCACGGCTGTTCACATTAGCAAGAAAAACTGAATTACATCGTCCAGTCTTGTTGCTCTGGTGTCCTTCATATATATCTATGTATATTATATGGAGCTATGTCTGTATATAAATTATATTATATATATGACTATAAATCAATAGAATGGATATAAAATCATAAAAGAATCTATACATCTGTATGAATATATATTCTCACACACGCTTTCCTTCATTCTTTTTTGTCCTTGCCCTCCGCTCTCCTCCCTTCCCCCCCCCTTCCTCCCCTTCCTCCCCTTCCTCTCCTTCTCCCCCTCCTTCCCTGTTCCTTCTCCCTCCCTCTCCATGTTCCTTCTCCCTCTTCTCTCTCCTCCTCTGTTCCTTCTCTGCTCCCTTCTTCCCTGCGCATCTTCGGTTTCGCAGAATGCGCTGCGCTTTCCAGAGAAGAGCAGTTGAAGAAGGATGCGTTTGCTCTGTTGTGAATACCAGCCCTATTCTCCTCCGCGGGTGCAACGGTGGCCTCAGTGACTGCCACGTGTCATCTTCAGATTCGCCGCCACCGCTGTCCAGTGGAAGGGGGCTGATGGGTTCCCTGGGCAGGAGGCCTTGTATTCCTGTGGCTACTCTCCGGCTTATCGCTGTTGCACTGGCTGTCTCGATCACAGCCTGGACGTTTTTGCTCTCCACTGGTGGGCGCTATTGCAGAGATGACCTCCGAAAGAAGGTCAACGAAATTTATGCCCTGGGGTGGGAGGATATGACGAAGGGGTGGGAGGAAGACGACAGGGGGGTGCCTTTTGTGGGCCCGGTACATTCGCAATCGGATACCGGCAGTGGGGGGATACGACCGGTGAGACCTTTCGGAGGAGTCATAGGGCGGCAGATCAAGCTCGATGGAGAACGGGGTACGGAGAGTGGTTTGCATGCACAAGATATTAAGGAGAAGGACAAAGATAGGGATGATTGGGAGGATAAGGACAAATGGTATGAGCAGCTAGCTGAACCCACAGGCGCGGCTGAGCCATCGTTAGCACATCAGTTAGGAGGACTGCCTGCGAGGCGGACGTCGAAGTCGAGCAATCAACTAGGAGCTACTCTACAAGAAGAAGAAGGAGGGGGAGTACAAGGGGGAGGCGTGAGAAGTGGCAATTCTTCCTCTTCCTCCTCCTCCTCCTCCTCTTCTTCTTCTTCCTCGTCGTTGATTTCTGGTCCAAGAGGATCTTCTCCGACGACAGAGGAGGATGTGTCGGTGATGCAAACATCCAGGCTGCATCCTCCAACCTACATTTCTAACATTGTTTTTGGTATTGCCGCTGCCGCCTCTCTGTGGGAGGAGAGAAAGGAGTATGTGAAGTTGTGGTGGAAGCCTCAGTACCGCGGTTACGTCTGGTTCGATGAACCGGTTATCCGCGGCCCGTCGGAAAGGCACTTGTATCCGCAATTCCGCATCTCGGAGGATATCACCAATTTTCTGTTCACGAATACCCATGGTGTCCCTGCCGGGATCAGACTGACGCGGATTGTGTCAGAAACGTTTCGCATGGGTTTGCCGGATGTGCATTGGTTTGTGATGGGAGATGACGACACGGTGTTTTCGGCGGAGAACCTGGCGGCGGTTTTGTCCAAGTACGATCACAGAGAGATGTATTACATAGGCAGCCACTCAGAGAGTCACACGCAGGACGTCCACTTCTCCTATAGCATGGCGTTTGGGGGAGGAGGGGTGGCAGTCAGCTACCCACTTGCCGAGGCGCTGCTGAAGTCTCAAGATGACTGTATTGGAAGATATCCTGAGCTGTACGGGAGCGACGACAGGTTGCAGGCGTGCGTTGCAGAGCTAGGCGTACCGCTGACGAGGGAGGCCGGCTTCCATCAGGTATGACCAGATTCAGACAGCAAGCACAACCCCTCCCCCTCCTCAGAAACTCGATCCCCTCTCCTTTGGAACTGATTTCTAAGTTCTAACCCACATTCCCGAGCTGCAATCTGATCTGCCGACTTCTGTACTTGTACTGGCAATCAGTAATTGCGCTTTTTTCAAAGGAATCTGGTCGTAAAGCTTTAGTCAGATACGTTCAGGGAAGGTGTCGTTTGACGATGCTTTCAGGTCTGATCATTGAGCAATCACAATGCCTTCTCACAAATTTAAACCACCACTACTTTTCCGACCCTGGAAACATGCTGCGCGCCAAAGAAAAAACAAACGGCGCGGGCCGCCTCCTTTTGGCTGGTGCCGCCAGTTTGTATCATGTCCTGTTCACGTCGAAAAGCGGAGGGGAGGAAAGATGAAACTCTCAATTGTTCACACGTGCACACCTTCACGGATAAACACATGCGCGGCCATTTTTGGAGGGGTGTGTGTGTGTGTGTGTGTGTGTGTGTGTGTGTGTGTGTGTGTGTGTGTG